CTCTGTGGTTAAAAACCATAGATATTTGGAAATTCCATGAGCATCCTGGTGTCATTTTTGTTCCTGAAACAGGAAGGGATGTCCTGGCATTGACTGATGCCATATCACAGCCTTCCCCACTGCTCCATTGAGAGATGGTGGGAGATGGGTAGCATTGGTGGAAGGTTTCCACCAGGACTAGGTTAGTAGAAACCTACTTAGAGGCTACAACCTTACACCCACTACCCTCTCTCAGAACTCCAGAAGTGACCTCTGGTTCATCAAGGTTGGGGACTCCTGGGAGGAACCTAACCTCATGCAGTTGCAGTAAGCCTAAAATGGAGGATAAAAGAATAATATATGCTATCCTGAGTTCCATTAGATAGACAGTGTAACTTAGCATGATGTACATATATTTACAATGGTAAGCCGCCCCTCAGTAACCTGTCCTGTGGAATGAGCTCCCAGATGAGGTTAGGATGGCACCTCTTCTTCACACTATCATAAAATGTTATAAGATAGTACTGCAACAGTTTTATGGGCATTGGTTTGCAGTTGTTTAGAATGATCTAATGTAAAACACTTTGAAAAAGTTAAGGCATACATGTTAAAAATAAATAAAGTGATAACTCGCAGCATGTGAGAGGAAGCCCTACGAGAGAGAGTGAATGTCAGGTTCCTTCTAAGTTCATTCATGCAGCATCAAACAATGGTTTGATGCTGCCTGTGAACAAAGAGGTGCCGGAACTCTCAAGAGGGAAATGAAGTTTTCAATCTGTATACTGAAAACTCATGAACTTTTAAACATTTTTAAAAGAATTTTTGTCAAAGAGGTTTCAGAACTCCGTTCTGGCGTGTTCCTCCAGAAAAAAAGCCCTGCCTGTGAAACAAGCCCAGGTCTCTCAGCTTTCAAAATGCTGTGATGTCCAAACACTTAAAAGTAACAGGTTACAATTCAAAGTGTTTAGGCTCAGTTCCTAGTTGGCTAGCCAGAATACTTATACTCTGTCATCACTGGAATCAGTGTGGATCGCCACTGAACGTCCTCTTCCTTGAACATCTAATGAAGGAAAGCCCTTGCATAAAAGGACTTCCTGATGATCCTGTTAATGTTTATCTCTTTGGAGAACCTCCCACCATCAAAGAACAGAACAGAAAGTGCTAAAGAAGATATATCATTACTTTTAAAATCACTGAAGCAAAATGAGCATTTCCATATTCAGCCCTACAATTTTCTACAAGCATGGCGCGTGTGTTTCACCATACATATGTGTGTGTGTGTATGTATACAAAATATGATGTTCCTGTGAGTTTGGGGAACATTTGTTTGATAGCATGAGGGTCTTTTCCATAATTACAATGGGCAGGTTATTGTTGAAGACTGGATAAAAGAATCATATCACCACTGTGCTGAAAGATTTGCAGTGACTTACCATCTTACCATCTGTTTCCAGGCACACTTCTAAACACCATAATCATACTAATGGTTTTAATAACTTTATTGTGTATTTTATATTGATTTTATTATGTTGTTTTATTTGTTGTTTTCTTTGTAAGCTGCCCTGAACCTGCCACGGCGGAGTAGGGCGGGGTCAAAATCAAATTAATAAATAAATGGCTTGGAGCTGGAGCACTGGAAGGGCTACCACGTCCTGTACTGTGCAGCCTACCAGTTAAGATAGTTTCCCCAAGCCCTGTGCCCCTGCTTACAGTGGTGAGGTGGATGACAATGAGATACAGGGCTTTTTCAGTGGTGGCACCTCCTCTTTGGAATGCCCTTGCCCCTTGGGGCTATCTTAGCATCCGCTTTACTGTCCTTTGGGCACTGATGAGGCACAAACATTTTTTTTTTTAATGCAGGCTTTCAACTGAGGAATCAAACTTTTTCCTTTTTTCTTTTTTTAAAAAAAGAGGTGCCGGAACTCTCAAGAGGGACATGAAGTTTTAAATCTGTCTACTGAAAACTCATGAACTTTTAAACATTTTTGAAATAATTTTGTCAAAGAGGTTTTGTCAAAGAATTCTAGCCTGAGGACTGTTTTATGAATATTATTTAAAGATTTTGAATGTTGTTTTATTCTGATTTTATACCCCTGGTTTGTGTTTATGGTTTTTAAAAATAATTCTTATAAACATTTTTGTTACATTGTTTTAACTCTGTGAGCCATCTTGAGAAAGTCTCTGCAGAGGTAAAACACATTTGCTGAATATATAAATAGATCCTTGGTATTTTTTAATTGAATATATGCAACTGGACACTAATCCATGACAGAAACTCTTTCTTTAAAGGGGTGAATGGGATTATTACATCTAAGAAGTCCTTTTGAGTGAAAACATACGGGCACAATGATACCACAGTGTGTAAGTGCCATGTAATAAATCACCTGGAATTGCATCCCAAATTGTGAGGAAATTTTTACCACATGCACATGTAGCAATTTTTGGGGAGTAAGAGTTACTTCCTAATTTGCAGCAAGCCATAGTGTGCCGCTATGTCTGAAGTATGGTTGCACTAGGGTTGCCAAATCCAAAAAGCCTGTTGTTGGGGGAGTGTCCCGCTTCTCCGGGAGTTGGTCCGGGACGTGTGTGCGTGCGCGCAAAGCGCGCGCGCGCCGCGGCGCGTCACCAGAAGTGACGTCGCACGCTGGGGCGGGGCCACGCCATTTGAGGGGAAAACTCTTTGTTTCCCCTCAAATGGCGTGGCCCCGCCCCCAGCGTGCGACGTCACTTCCGGTGACGCGCACGCCGGGGAGGGGTTTCCCCTGGGCCCCGATTCCCCGGCGTCGGGAAACGGAGCCTCCGGGGCGGGGTATTTCCGCCCTACCGGGGGAGTTGGCAGCCCTAGGTTGCACTTACCCCCAAACTGGATTATAAACAAAGGTTTGCAGTCCAAGTACAAGCCACACTTCAGGCTTTTATGCATGGGTTTGTCAGTTCTGACACCATACAGCTTTGGTTTATCCCCAATTTCTGCACATATTTTATGACTTTAGTTTTCACTTCTTTTTGTTTGTTTCCCCCCTAGTTTTCTTCCAGTATTTTTGAGGCTACTTTTACCCTGATCTTTTTCTGGAAGCTGATTTTGAGTAATCTTTTTCCTTGTGTGTAATGTTTCTGTTGTTTTTCTTTTTCCTGCCCACTTACACCCACCTCGATCCTGCTATTCTCCAATTGGACTTTGGTCATTGTCACACCACTCCTTCTCTCCCCCAAAGACCAGCAGTTTCATTTATTATTTTTAAAGGTACTAAAATGTTAATATATATAACATTGCTATAAAAGGTCAAGCAGGTTCTCTGAATTCCCTGCTTTCACTTCAAAAAAGTATGTCTCTATCCCCATCTCTCACAGAGATATAAGGAAAAAGGCAATGCGGGAACAAGACAGAGGCCTACTTTAAAAAAAAAAAAGCTAGGCATTCAGAGAACCTGCTATTCTTACAACATTATATTGATATATTGGTATTTGAGTGCCTTTAAAAGGGAGGGGGGAATACTGCGTCACCACTGATGACACCACTGATGACAAAATCCTTTTTTGAACCCTTGAAAATCCTGATTATTTATGGAACATGTGGAAGAAAATAAACTGACTCGACAACTGTGAAAATGCAGAGAGAGGGCAGACATGTGGAAGAACCATGCTCTCACCGATTCCAATGCTTGTAGATCAAATGCCAAGAAAATCCAGAATAATTTAAGCATGTTGAAAAGATCTTGGTTAATTCAGATGTACCAAAAAACAAGGTTTGCCTCAAACGGAATGATGGGCTCACAGTGTATGAAGGGACGAGGAAGCACTAGGAGAAGTGATCATTTTATATATTCAAAGCTCCTTCTGGGCTTATTGATATAACCAGATTTTAATGTTATATCTGAAACGAGCATGGTTTCCATTACATAATGAAAATAGTCACTGCAAAAAACAACAACAACACCTTGGTCTTTGCTGATCAACAAAACCCTGGAAGAAAAATGAGACTCCATTTGTATCACTGTATGTGACATTTCTCTCATTTTGCTACTCAGTCTGTGGAAGGAATTTTTCTGTTCCTTTCGAGAGTAATTAGCTAGGTCAATCATGTGTGTTCTACTCATCTGTTAAATTTTATCTTAATTAAGGTCTGAATATGTACATTATCACTGTCTTTTGCAGTGAAATATGCCATTAATTCTTAAAGTCTACCATGGATAACCTATCACTATGTCTGCATCTGATAAAGTGAATATAATTTTTTTGCTTGAGTAAATTAAACTCTAGCTTCTTTATATAAATGAAATGCATATTAATCCATTCCTGAAGCAAGGCTCATCCTATCTTTTAAGGAAAATGAATAGATGTACCCTGGTTTGAGAATTAGATTTCTTAAGCAATGATGCTGAATTACTCTGCTTTTATTCCATATTCTTGTATGTTACATAACAACACTGATTTCTCTTAACAATCAGTTCTTTTTACAGATGAAACTAAACAAGTAGTTGATAAATGAAAGTGAACGGGAATGTTACTGAAACAAAGTCTTCTTGTTTAAATGCATCTTTGAAGATTAAGATAAAACAAAATTGTTTACAATATATTTCAGAATTACTACTCAGAAGATAGGCCCCTTCATCTTGAATACTTTTCAACAAATTCCAATCACTCTAAATCCTAAGAATGCTAAAGGAAGTAAGCCCTACTGAACTCAGTGGGCCCTTGTTCTGAATTGTTATCAGGTTTGGGCACTAGAACATAATAAGCATATTTAGAATTGCAGTCTTGACTGATAAAAATACTCAGAATTATAATGCATAGATCCTATCAGGTTTCCTAATGGCACAGGTTTCACTGAAGCCCTATCCCATGAGGCCCTTTGTATCACAGGTCCCATAATTCCTGATATACCCCTTTTAGGGAGTCCTCCTTCCTCTCGTGCCAGTGAAAATCCATTAGGGACCAACCCAATGCCATTGGTCTTCTAGATTTATTCTACAGTAGGAAATAGAAGGGAAAAGTTATCTGTGTACTAGGAGTTTTCCTACCGTGCTCTGGTCCCTTTAGAGCCAGCCGTGTCTGATGATGAGGAAGGATTTCAAGTTTGACATTATCGGAAGTATTAGCCAAGAACTGTGTTGCTTCTGCTAATGTACAGTACTCCATGCTGGTGCCATCAATGGAAAGAATATGATCTCCTATATGTAATGCGCCACATCTATGGAAAAAAGCGGGAAAGACACTATTTTAAGTGAATTTTTTCTTAGTGAAACTAATCAAAACAACCCCCCCCCAAAAAAAACTAGCCTCTTTCATGTCTTTGTGGTGTGGTGTCCTAAGGAGCTGAATCAGATGGGATACTTGGAGATCCCTGTAGAGAACTCCTAAGTGCATATTTTTTTTTAAAAAAAATAGCAGACACATGGGACCCCAGTTCAGGACAGGGATGTAAGGAAAGTATGGCATGTTATGACTTCCCTGTTCCATTTTCCCAACCCAAAAACAGTCCTGCTGAGCTTCTGTTCCCTCATTGCACCAAATATACAGTAGCATAGGTAATGAGAGATACAACCTCTCCCACGGTACTAGAACTCAGGGGCACACAGTGAAGTTGGGTGGCAACAGATTCACGATGGGCAAAAGGAAGTCATTATTTTATTCAGTGAGTTAGTAAAATATGAAATGCACTCCCAGAGGCCACAAGCATATATGGTTTTAGATGGGGGCTGGACAAATTCATGGAGGGTAGGTCCATCAGTGGCTACTACCCACGGCGACATCAGGGGAAGTCCTTGGCCTCTGGGCTCTGTTGTTGGCCCTTCAAAGTAAGTGTTGGCTGCTGCGTGAGGCAGGATGCTGGACTAGATGGGCCATTGGTCTGATCTAGCAGGGATCTTTGTATGCTCATTGTTTTTTTAAAAATAATTTATTTAATTTATTTATAATGTTTATTAGCTGTTTTTCTCTCTTGTGGAACTCATAGCAGCTCCGTGGGGTGGGGAAAGCTTATATTTCTTCCCCTGCACTGCGTTCCTGATCTTAATTGTGGTCATGAGTGGCTGATTTTTTTTTAAATGCTTGGGTGTTCTGTACGAACACAACCCCTGCCAGCATCTCATTGGGTTTGGCCCCAAGATAGAGGAGACTGAAAGGAAAAACCCCCCACTAAGTTTGATTACTGTTTATCAAGACTGAAGATAATCTTAAAGAATATTTAAAGACTACTAGAATACTTGAAATTTTACTGCCATCTTGCAGTCATGCACTGTTACCTGCCCTAATGACTCCTCGGCCTTATGGCTAAGATCAAGTGTGTGACTCCTCTGAATGCTACAGTTTGGTCAACATGTGATGCATTCATGCATTCAGATGTAACCGGCATGGGTGATATAACCACTTCTGTACTACTCACCTGTCTGCGATACTTGCAGATTTTATTTTGTCAATGACAATAACTTGTTTGCTGCAGCACATCGAGGTAGATAGTGCAACTCCCAGAGCAGAACCAGCAGTTTTGGCAACTTCAACAAGCAGTGGCCCAGAAGCTGTTGCTACCGAATCTACAAAAAAAAAAAACAGACATGAGCAAATATAATTCCTCATGATTACACCTTTCATTCGTTTTATTAATGATTTTATTATTTATTCATTCTTTATTAACACTTACTGTTTAATTCTTTTTAAAAATGCTACTGTATCAAATGGCTATATTGTCTCTTATCTAGTAACTAAACATTAAAGTAGGGGAAAGTAGCTGCAAGAAGAGGGAAGAACTACCACATTCTGTGCCATAGCCCCCGTTTTGAGCTTTGCCATCTGTCCTGGTCTTGTTAGCTGCATGTGCTCGACTAGCAGCAGCAGCAGCGTGTGTGTGTATGCATGCACACGTGCCATGCTTTGAAACACTTCCAGAAGGAAACTATGGCTGCAGTCACGCGGAGCATTAGCCATGCTACAGAGACGGAAGATAAGCGGATTTTCTGGGTGCGATCAAACCGCAACATCTGGGAAGCGTAGAGCTCCCGTGGCTAACCCAAGGCTTCCCACCGAAGATGCGCCATAAAAAACTAGTACCTCCAAGGTACTAGTTTCCGGAAACCGCGGGGCAAGGGCGGGCGTCTGATCACGTTTCCGGTGGTAGCTCGTGGCATCCGGTGCCCGCCCATGTCCCATCACGAAAAGAGTTTTTCCCCCCCCAAGTCTCCACAGGATGTGCACAAGCACCCAACGGCGCATGCGCAAACTTCGGTTAAAAAAACCCCCACAACCCCCGCCGCGCCGCTTCTTTGCCGCACCGCAGGAATGACATATGATCAGCACCTCCCCCCGAACCACGCGACGTTGGCGGGACATTTGATCCAGCAGCCGCGCGGTAGTTCGCTCCGAGGCAAACAGCCACGCCTCCCCCCCCCGCGATATCTGGCCCGTGTGACCGGGGCCTATCAATGGCAAGGACTGCCCAAACTACAGCAACATTTAAGGCTCTGTACAGGCAATCTGTTCTGTGGTACAACAGGAACAATACCCCTTACTACTACGGTTGTGCTAAGCCCTGACCTTGCTTATTAGGTCTGCTAACCATCAGGCAATTGAACAAGCAAATTAAATGTAATTGGAATGTGTCTGTTGTCTTTCCTACATGTGTAGTTTCCCTGTTGCTGCTGCTGTTGCCAGTACAGCACAGCAGCAATGGGGCTTCCACATGGCAGATTTCCCCATGGTTTCCCTGTCCCAGTCCCTGGCTACTTCCTACCCATGTACCACCAGGGCTTTTTTAGTTAGTTTGTTTTTTTAAATCAGCAACTGCTTATTGTTATATTTAAATAAAATTGTAATATGTATAACAGGTTTCTTGAATTACTAGCTGTCATTTAAAATTGTTTCTAGTCCCTTTGGTTGCAGACATATACCTTTCTTCTTTTACCTCCACAATGAAATGCTAGAAACGTACTTTTAAAAAATCAGAGAATCTGCTACTACCTATATTGTTAAAACATTATGCCTATATAACAATATTAACTTACTAATTTTATTAAAAAAACAGTGTTGGGGAAGGAAATGGCTGCTGTGGGGAAAATGGCTGCCATGTGGCCAGGACTGGAATAACCTGAAATTTCCCACCAACAAAGCAGCTACCTAGGTTTTGTTACAATTTTTCCAAAATGTCAGAGCAAAGCAGGTTTGGGAAGGATCATGGAAAAGCCAAGAATACCTCAGAAAGCGCATGAATGTACCATGATGCTGTGGGGCCACAAGAACCCCCCCCACTTCCTAAAAGCATTGAACCTGAGGCAAATAATTGTGTGGAATGGCTTCTGAGTCAAAGCTAGGAGCCAGGAGCCAAGTAGCAGCCAATGAGAGCTACTTAAACCATGCTTTCTACCCCTTCACACACTCTGGATTACTTTAGTCACTATATTAATTATGTTTTGGCAAGTGGGAACACACAAATATTTGTGGGGGATATCTCATTTTCCCCTCCCCCATTATTTCCTCTTTACCTTCCCTAAAAGCTCCCATGGTCCTCTCCTTCCCACCCAACAGCCAATCTACCTTTATCTGCCTCCTTTGTTCTCAGCTTTTCGTCTCTCCTCCTAGCAGCCTCTGACTAGGAAAACTATGGCACAGATGCATGGTGCTGGCTACTGGGCCAGGCCCACCTGCATGGTAGAGAACCCAAAAGGACTTGTAGAGACCACATTATTTTCCTCAGTATCCCCCTCCTCATATTATTTCTGCTTTCCCTTCTCCTGGCAACCCCCGTATCCTTCCCCTTTCTCCGCCTCATTCTCTTTCTCAGCCATTCACTAACCTACCCTTTAGCTGTCTCTCATCTTCACCTATATTTATATCCTATCTTTCTCCACAGTGGGAACCAAAGCAGGTTATATCATTCTCCTGTCCTCATTTTTATCCTCACAACTATCTTGTGAGGTAGATAGGTGAACATATGTGACTAGGAATGGGCACAAACCTCTACACAATCCTAAATTTGTCATGAAAACCGCCCGGGTTGTGGTTTGCAAACTGAGGTTCATGCCCATCCCTATCAATGACCCTCCCACGACCATCCACATAATTATTGGGAGATTCATGCAGCTCCTGGTGGGAATTGGGGGGGAGGAACGAGATTGCTGAAATGGCTTGCATTGATTTCAGCCTAACAGTGGGGCTGGCATGCATAAGAACATAAGAACACAAGAGACGCCAATGTTGGATCAGGCCAAAGGCCCATCCAGTCCAACACCCTGTGTCACACAGTGGCCAGAAATACCAGGTGCCATCAGGAGGTCCAGCAGTGGGGCCAGGGCATTAGAAGCCCTCCCACTGTTGACCCCCCCAAGCACCAAGAAGACAGAGCATCACTTGCCCCAGAGCCCCTATCTATACCTTGTGGCTAATAGCCACTGATCATGCCCATCAGCTGTTAGGCTGAAATAAATACAAGCCATTTCAGCAATCCCCCTCACTCTCCCCGCTCTGAAGCAGAGAGGAGCAAAATGGAAAGGTTTAATGGCTTGCAGCCATTTAAACCTAATGGCTGGGAGGGTTTGCACATCAGCTGTTAGGTTTAAATGCCTGCCGTCCATTTCGCTCTCCCTGCTTTGAAGTGGGGGGGGAAAGCGAAATGGATGGGTTAAATGTCTGGAAGCTGTAAACCATTTAACCCTTCCAGGGCGATCCCCACCTTTCTCCTGGCTGTGGTTCCTTTGTGGGCTCTGTTGGGCAGTCCAGTTGAACCAAGCTGCTCAGCAGGAGCCCCAGCCCAGGCTGCAGGGAGAGTTACCCCCGCAGGATTGGCTCATTTGCAGGCTCTGTTGGGCAGTCCAGTTTGAACCAGGCTGTCCAGCAGAGCCCCTGCCAAGGCTGCAGGGAGAGTTGTCCCCACAGGATTGGCTTCTTTGTGGGATCTGTTGGGCAGTTTGGTTTGAACCAGGCTGCCTAGCAGAGCCCCTACCAAGACTGCAGGGAGAGTTCTGAGATCTTCTCTCCCTCCTTTCTGCTGGCAGTGGCTCCCTGAGGTCAGGAGAATGGGAGAGAAGACATCTTCCCCCCATTCCTCCTTTCTGCTGGCAGTGACTCCAGGCAGCCAGCAAAATGGAAGGGGGGGAGAGATATGAGATCTTTCCCCCCTTCCTCTTCTCTGCTGACGGTAGCACCATGTGGCCAGCAAAAAGGAGGAGGGGAGATCTGAGAGTTCTCCCTGCAGGATCAGCTGCTTTGCAGGGTCTTTTGGGCAGTGTGGTTTAAAGGTACTGCTCAAGAGAGCCCTAGCTGAGCCTGCAGGGAGAGTTCTTTCGACAGGATCAGCTGCTTTGCAGGCTCTTTTGGGCAGTCCATTTTAAAGGTACTGCCCAAGAGAGCTGCAGCTGAGCCTGTGGGGAGAGTTCTTCCACAGGATCAGCCGCTTTGTGGGCTCTGGCGGTCTGGTTTAATGGTACTACCAAGAGAGCTCCAGCTGAGCCTGTGGAGAGAGTTCTTCCTGCAGGATCAGCTGCTGTGAGAGCTCTTTTGGGCAATTTGGTTTAAACTGGGTAGCCCAACAGAGCCCCAACCCAGCCTGTGGGGATAATGCTCCCTGCAGGATCATCTCCTTTATGAGCCAGTCAGCCCCAGCCAATCTCCCCCCCCTCCTTTCTGCTGGGGGTGGTTCCACATGGCCAGCAGAATGGAAGGGGGAAGATCTGAGATCTTCCCACCCTCTTTTCTGCTGGCAGTGGCTCTCTAAGGTCTGCAGAATGGAAGGAGAGGAACTACAAGAGAGGATCAGCTGAAGCGGCACGTTCATCCGGTCATGAACCTCACAAAATGAACCACTTCAGTAAACAGGGCGGCTCTTGAAGGTTCATGGTCATGTGACTTCACAAACTAAAATGAACCTTTATTTTCCTGGTTCATGCCCATCCCTATATGTGACTGGCACAACATCACCTAGTGAGCTTCCATGGCAGACTGTTGATTTGAACCTGGGTCTCCCAGACCCTATTCTGAAGATCTAACCGGTACACCATACTGGCTTTCATAGGGGGGCTGCTGTTGAAAAGTAGCAAGCAGCCAGGCCTTTATGAGTCATGCAAGTCAGGTGGTATCAAGTCACCAAGCAGTTGCTGCCAGGGGTATGCCTAACCCCATTGAATCCTCCCTCAAAGGTCAAAATAAATAAATAAAACAGCCCTGGAAAGGGCCCTGCCCCTCCCCCTGTCTTTTACTGACAGAAACCAAGCCTAGAATGCTGTGGTTGCCTAGCAATGACTGAGGGCTTCCATTTCTTAATGCTGTAGAATGTCCTTTTATCATTTGAGGGTGTGTGTGTTTTTACCCTCAATGCATTTTTTTTTAGGTATCATATTTTTCTGCAAAAGATCTTTCTTGTCTGTTCATGGCCAATGTTCCCTGTAAGCTGTAGAGCCTTGTGAGCAAAAATTCTACTTTGTGAGCTGCTGGCATTAAAGTTGTGAGCGAGCAACTTGGCTCCTGCATCATTTAGTTTGCCCTGGAGCCATCTTTCCTGAGCCAAGACAAAAATGTGTGAGCTGGAGGCTAAAAACCTGTGAGCTAG